AAAGTGGGAATTGGGGGTTGATGTTGGCATCTCCCTGGGTTCCTACTGCCCAGATTTCTCCTGTTTTTTAAAATTCCTGTGGTTTTGAGGGCAAATGTCTGTAAAGGAAGATCTGTCCTTTTGAATGGGGATGATGGACAGGTGAGGCCCAAGGGAAGAGCAAAGTGGTTATTGCACAGATAATTATTATAGATTATTTATGGATTATTATAGGTGATTTATTATAGAGAAGCCCAGTCCTTCTGCCTCTGGATTTCCTATTTAAAACACATTCCCTGACTCCTTCCCTCTGGTGCTCCCGCCCTGTACAAAAATGTCCTGGGCTGTTGTTGCCATCTCTTCAGCACAGTTCCTGCTCCTGCTGGTGGGAGGAGGATGCTGATCCCTGCCAGGTCTGGAGCTGCTGCAGGATGCTCCAGCCCCTCCATGCTATGCTTGCTTTTCCACTCAGGGGAGCCCTGTCTGTGGAAAAATGGGGCCAAAAGCAACTCGGGAGTGGCACCCACGGGTCCAGCCCTCCTGGAGGGATTCCCTGGGGCTGCAGCACAGCTCTGCCCTCAGCACAGCAGGGCTGGGTCCCTCCCTGCCCTTCCCATGTGCTGCTTTCTGCTGCTGTGCAGAGCCCTGCCCAGCCTGAGAGCAGCCTGGGATCCGGAGGGAGAAATCTCCCTGCACTGAACAAGCTGTTTCCAATAGACTTTTTCCATCAGGGGGTTGCTCAGCAATATTTTATTTCCTTTTTTTTTTTTTTTATTGCTGCGAGGCTCAAAGGCGTCTGTGAAGTGCTGCCAAACAAGTAAATGAGGGCAGGGAGGTACCCGAGATTTATTTTGGCTGGCGGAGCCGTGTGCTGGGAATGGGAGGGGAAGGAGGAGCGGCAGGAGGAGGAGAAGGAGGGTGAGTCAGCGTTTCACAGAGCTGCTTCCATCAGACAAGTGTAGGTTTCCCTCTAGAGGAATCTGCCGTGCTCCACTCCTGCTCTCACCCAGCACTTCCAGCATCCTCCCTCAGGGGGGTGGGAAAAGGGGATTTTGGGCTTAGGGCAAGGGATGGGGGTGAAGAGGGATGTTCATCCCAAGGAATGGGGTGGAACAGGGATGTCCATCCCATGGAATGGAGGGTCAGGCATGGATGTTCATCCCAAGGAATGGGGGCAAACAGGGATGTCCATCCCAAGGAATGGAGTGGAACAGGGATGTTCATCCCAAGGAATGGGGTAGAACAGGGATGTCCATCCCAAGGAATGGGGTAGAACAGGGATGTTCATCCCAAAGAATGGGGAGGAACAGGGATGTCCATCCCAAGGAATGGAGGGTCAGGCAGGGATGTCCATCCCAAGGAATGGAGGGTCAGGCAGGGATGTCCATCCCAAGGAATGGGGTGGAACAGAGATGTTCATCCCAAGGAGTGGGGTGGAACAGGGATGTCCATCCCAAGGAATGGGGTGGAACAGGGATGTCCATCCCAAGGGTCGAACGGTGATGCTGCAATTTGAAATCTCAGTGGAAAGTCACAGATTCTCAAATGGCCTCAGGCTGTGCCAGGGGAGGGTCAGGCTGGATATTGGGAAAATTTCTTCCTGTAAAGTTTTGTCCAGCCCTGGCACAGCTTCCCAAGGCAGGGGTGGAGTTCCCGTCCCTGGAGGGCTTTAAAAGCCCTGTGGGTGTGACATTTGGGGACAGGGGTCAGTAGTGGCCTTGGCAGTGCTGAGGATGGTTGGACTTGATGGTCTTATAGGGCTTTTCCAACCTAAACATTCCATGATTCTTCTGCCTGGAACTCGCAGCCAAGAGCCCCTGAACAAACCCCAGTGGGTGCCAGCAGGAATGGGGTTGAGGAGCAGAAAGGAAATTTCCTCAGTGGATCTGCAGGAGGAAAATGAGAATTCAACAAAGATGGATTCAAGTTCTGTCTTTACAGATTTAGCCAGTATCAGCAGGTCCAGCATCCCATGAGCCTCATCAGGACTTTACAAGGCTTGCAGGGACAGGAGCCAGGGAATGGCTCCCACTGGGAAAGGGGAGATTGGGCTGGGATCTTGGCAAGGAATTGCTGGCTGGGAGGGTGGGCAGGGGCTGGGCTGGAATTCCCAGATTTGCTGTGGTTACCCCTGGATCCCTGGCAGTGCCCAAGGCCAAGTTGGACACTGGGGCTTGGATCCACCTGGGACAGTGGGAGGTGTCCCTGCCATGGCAGGGTGGAATGGGATGGTCCTTAAGACCCCTTCCCACCCAGACCATTCCATGGTGACCTGGGGAATGAAGACAGGATCATCTCAGGGGTTTGAGGAGGCCTTGAAGCTGTTCCTGCACCTGTGCAGGTGGGGATTGGTGCAGTCCAGGTGCCTGGAATTGCTGCTCTGGCATCAGCCCCTCCTGAGGAGGGAACTTCACCTACTCAGCTCCTGGCAGCTGGCACAGTCATTAACAGCCAGTTCTCGTTAATCAGTGCAGCTGATTAATGCTCTGCAGCCTTTTAGAGCTGGAGCCCAGCAGAGCTGGATCAGGCCCTGGCTGCTCTTACTCAGCACAAAGGATGGATCTCAGTCTGGAGCAAAACATGGAAGCAGTGCCAGCAGGACAGGCAGAGGTGGGGCAGGGCTGTGTGCCCCTTGCAGCCACCCTGGCATCCTGGTGGTTGGACATTGTCACCTTCCCTTGTCACCTTCCCTTTCCAGCTGGGAAGGAAAATTTGCCCTGTTAAAATCTATTTGTGGATGTTGTGAACTCATCCAACTGAGTGGTCAGGTGCTGAGCAGCTGCTCCCCTCTTCTGGGGAGCTCAGATTCGAGGGGGATTGGGGGAAAATGTCCAACCCTCTGCTGATCTCCAGGCTGGCAATGCCAGGAGAGGTTTTTCTCTCCATGCAGAGAGTGGCTGCCAGTCTGGGGTGCTCTGTGCCTCAGGGTCCATCAGCTTCTCCCAAAACTTCTGGAGGCTTTGTGTGCTCACCCAGAGCTCACAACCCCTGGGAGGAACTGGGCTGCAGCTGTGGGGTTGTTCCTGGCTGCTCCTGCCTGGGCCAAGAAGAAGAGGACACAGAGCAGGGCAGGACTGCCTGGGGACGAGGCTGGGCACTGCCACCACGGCTGATTTGTGACAGCAGGAGAGGGCACCCACGAGCTGTCTGTGCCCCAGAGGAGCTGCTGATCTCAGTCAGGATGAAGGGCTCCAGGCTTTTCTTTGTCCCGGGGTTGCCAGGTCCCTTCAGTGGTGTCCCATGTGTGCTGGAGCAGAGCCAAGAGTGTTCCTGCCCCCAGACTGGCACGGGGGACTTTGGTGGCATGGATGGCTTCAATGGGCACCTTCCCAAGGAGCTGCTGAGAGCAGGCTGAGGGAAGGGGCTGTGCAGCTGCCAAGAGTGGGAGCAGGGGGTGCCCATGGTGGGGGCATCACTCCTGGGCTGAGGTGGTGCCAGCCCGATGCCCTCCCTGCTTTGGGACCAACCAGCTGCACATCACCAGCATCAGCTCTTGCCTCAAGGTGGCATTTTGTGCTTTAAAATGTGTCTGAGGAGTTTGGTGGATGCACAATAACATGGAAATAGTTGTCCAAGCAACTTTGTGATCCTGCAGTGCCACCTGCAATCCCTTCCAGCAGCTGGGCAGGGAGATCCCAGGGTGGAGCCCCAGGGCTGGACATGCCCTGGGCACCTTGACAAAATAATTCATTTATTCCTTTCTCCTAAACCTTGGTGTGCCCAGAGCTGGCTGATCCACACCCATATCTCTCCCCAGCCAAGAGGGGACCTCTCTGGAGCTCTGCATCTGTTATGGAGCTCAGCTGCATCTGTTATGGAGCAGGGCCAGGTGCCCTGTCCTGGGGATGGGATTGCTCCTCCCAAGGGTGAGGCAAGGGGATGGGCCCAGAGGAGGGAGCGTGGCAGTCAGAGCACCAGATGGATGTGGGGTGTCCACGCCACACCCCGCTTTGTGATGTGAAAACCTCTGAGCCTGCTGAGCCTCCTTGGTGGTGACTCCACATTGCTGCACTTGTTCCCAAAGGAAGATCAATGAAATCCCACAGAAAGGTCCCTCAGTCCTGCCTGAGCAGGCAGCAGAGCGCTGTCAGCCTTACTTGGGGTGAGACTCTGAATTCCAGGTGTGCTGAACCCCTTCCGCCTTGGGATCCCCCTGGGGTTTCAGGCATCTCGGGATCTCGGGCAAAGGGATGTGACAAGGGGCATATGGGAGGTGGGACAGTGTCCAGAGTGGGGACAGGGCCCTGTCCTGGCCATGTGCTACCTCCTGCTGGGCTCTAGTCCCTCAGCCCTGTCCCTCCCATGCAAGCCTGAGCTCCATGAGTGCTCCCATGCTGGTCATGTTGGCAAACCAGTGTGGAGACGCTGGGGTGAGCTGGGAAAGGCTTCTCTGTCTGCCTTCACTGGTTCAGGTGACCCTGATCCCTGATCCAAGAGCCCAGGCTGCTCCTGGTGCTGCACCTGCCCCGGGTGCCACCAGCACCGGGACAAACTCACCTTGGGCTGCAGGAGAAAGTGGGGAAACCTCTCTGGCTCCTGGGCAGAAGGGGAATGAGGAGGAGTGTCCTGGGAGCAGGGCTGCCCCTCCCTGGGTGTCGTGCATGCCCCTTCCACGCCGTGATTCCATAATCATTGCTGTGCCTAACAAGAGCCAGGCATGGATTGGTCATTGCGCTGCTTGGAGCGTCTGTGGTGTGTGTGGTGTGTGCTTCCAGCCCTGTCACAGCATTAACCAGGAGGACTGTTCTGTCTTCCCTCCACAGCCTGGAAGTGTCTCCTCAGGTAGAAACCAGCTCAGATGCTCCTTCTCATTGTGCTCCCCGCTCCCCTGCCCCGTGCCCCGCTGCCCTTGCCGCTAGCATGCCGAGCTCTAACCTCCCTCCCGCTCCTGGAGACAGACAGGCCGGATGCTTGGCCCCCACCAACCCATTCCTCGACTCCCTGCAGAGCAATCCCTTCTTTGAGGAGCTCCTCGCTGACCAGGTACTAAATTCTCCTTCACCTACTCACTTTCTCTCTAGTTTCCCGCCTGGGCCGCGTGCTGCACCCGAGGTCGCTGGGAGCTTTTATTCCTCTGAGGATTGCAGTCCCTCTGGCTCCCCAAGGCGCACAGAGCCCCAGAGGGAGTCTCCAGCCCAGAGCGTTGGTGTCCCCGTGCCTGAAACCAGTCCCCCAGCACCGGGAGAGCTCCCTCCTGCCGACACTGACACCGAGCCTGCTGTCCCCTCGGAGTGGGACGATACCTTCGATGCCTTTGCCACCAGCAGGCTCAAACCAGAGCGGAACAAGGAGAACTTTTTTGCCTCGGTGGCAGCAGAGGGCATGGCTTTCATCGATGACCCCAGAGCCAGCCCGACGGAGAGCTCAGCGGGGCCGCCTTGCCAGAAGGGCTCCCAAGTGTTCGAAAAGGCGGCTGAAATCCCTGCGGCTCTCCGCTCTTGGACAAATTTCTCCGCTTTAGACGTGGGGGCCAACCTGGTGAGCACCACCCAGGAGGCCACGGTGATCGAGGACGTGCTGAGCCCCGTGTCCGCGGGCTCCATGGCCAGGAGGAGGAAAAGCAGCACGCCCATGGTCTGGACAGCCGCCTTTGCCTCGGGCAACCCCGGGGACAAAGAGGCGTCAGCAGCACTGAGCACTGAAAATAGCGCTAGGGAGGAGGGGGACAGCGGTGAGGAGGAGTCCTGCAGCACGGGGACGAACGGCTGGATGACCATAGCCACGGAGAGCGCCGCCGAGCCCTCAGAGAGCGCCGGGGAGCACCCGGCTCCTCAGGCCCCCTTCGGCCCGCGCCCGCCCTTCCTGGGCGAGGGCACCTTCGAAGCCCAGAGCTCGTCCCGTGCCACCACCACCACCTGTGTGCTACCCATGAGCTCCTTCCCCCCCGAGCCGGCCCCCGAGGCCCCGCCGGGCAGCACCGTGGTGGCGGCCGTGCCCCCGCGGGTGCCGGGGGACGCGGCGGGACGGAGGTTCCCCGAGGCGGGCTTGGAGCCCGGGGAGGGCGCCTTGGACATCCGCAGCTCGGTGTTCCGGCTACAGGCCAGCATGCGGCTGGAGGCCAGCGAGGGCCTGCTGCACTTCAGCTCCGACATCCGCGAGAGGCGCGTGGTGCTGTCGCCGTGGGCAGGGCCTCAGGGCTGCCCGGAGCTGCCGCCCGGGCCGCCCCCCAAACCACCCCGGCGGTTCGCGGCCGCGGGCCCCGTGGGGGACGGCGAGGACGAGGAGCCTGGTGGCACCCAGCGAGGCAGGCAGGAGCCGTGGGAAGAGTCAGAGGGCCCAGGAGCAGAGATGGGATTGCCGAGGAGCCGTGCGAGCAGTGAGCCCTCCGTGCCGGCGCCTCCCATCCTGCTCGCACCCGGAGCGGCCGCCGCTGAAGCCGGGAGAGAGTTCGCAGCGTCTGAGGGTGCCAGAGCTGTTGCTATGGACCCAGCAGCTGGCGTGGGGATAGGAGCCGACGCCTCTGTGGGCGAACACCCATCAGACATGAACGAGACAGATGTGGCCGAGCAGTTTGAGACTTGCATGTCCAACTTCTCCCTGGATGGACTGGACCGGTCGGGTGCTGAGGAGAGCAGGAGCCAGCCCCGTTTATCCCCTCAGGGGGCCACAGACAGTGCCAAGTGGGAAATGGCCTCCAAGCAGGAGCTGTTCCCCGAGGAGCTCAGTATTTCAGGACTAAACCCACCTTCCAAGCTAGACCTGGGCCAGCCCACCAGCTGGACAGCTCTGGGAGAGCAGGAGGCAGCTGGGCATCCACACCCGCCGCCCCAAAGGTTAGAACACAGGCAGAGGCCATGCCAGCTGGAGCTGGCGTGCCAGGATGGCGAGGGGCGAGCAGGAGAGCAGCCCAGGCCCCGTGCCCCTCCCCGGGAGGCAGAGCAGGGCAGGACCCCCGCCAGCGAGGAGCCCCAGGGGCGCTGGGCAGAGAGCAGGATAGACTTCAAGAAAGCCGATTTCTGGAAGCCAGATAAGATAGAGAGGCACACACAGGGAGCTTCAGCCCCGAGAAACCCCTTCACCCTGGCGCTGAGCCCCAATTCCCCGAGCAACCCCTTCGTGGAGAGGCCCCCAGCTCCTGTCCAGGCTGTGCTGCCCGAAAAGCTTGAGCAGGGCGACTTCAGCTTCCGCAGCCCGCAGGAGGAGCCCCCCGGGCACGGCTTGCAGCCCACTAACGCTACCCCCCTGCATGTCAGCCCGCCCCTGGCCTTCTCCACCCCTTTCCCCGCGGCTGCCACTAACCCCGAGCCGTGTGGCCGCCCCCGGGCCCCCGCGGGGGTCCCCGCCCGCCGCGCCGCCGCCCGGCCCTGCCCGTGCCCGCAGCCCGGGGAAGCTTCGGCGCTCCTGGTTCTGCCCAGGGAGACACGGCCGGCTGAGAAGCCCCTTGGCCAGCAGACGACCAGGTGAGCACTGCGGGGAAGGCGAAGGGCGTGTGTGTGTGTGGAAGAGGTGAGCCCTTGGCCCCTCCTGCTGCTGGCCCCCTCTGCTGCTGGCAGGGCTGGCTCCGAGGAGGCTGCTCCGCATCTGCTGCAGCTCCTATTCCCTCACCTTTCCCTGGTCCCAGAGAGCCCAGCCCGAGCTGCTGGGAGCCTTGGCTCTCTGGGATGCTGAGGGAAGTGGCCACTGGTGTCTGGTGTGGCCAGGGCAAAGGGTTCCATGCGCCCCAGCTGGAAATCCAGAGCTGCACCCACATTGCACCCAGCTGATTTTGGCTCCATCATCCCCCACCCCGTGCTTGCAGAAGAAATGCCTTTCCCGTGCCTGCCAGGAGAACTTGTGGCTGTTTGTGCTCTCCTGAGCTCCCTCATGGCATGTGCACAGCTGCTGCCCCTGCCCTTGCCATCCATCCAGCTTTGGCTGCTTTCCTCTCCAGTGCCCATTGGGTACTGAAAACCTTCTGTCCATAGCCAAAAAAAGAGTTTTTTCACCAGGGCGAAATGCCCCTCTGCCCTCCCTCCTGCAGAGATGCCCATTGGTGATGAAGCACCTGGGATTTAGCCTTGAGGCTGGTGGGAATGGGAAGGGTGGAAAGAAGGGGCTGTTCCTCCTCCCAGGTCAATCCTGGATCTGTACAAATGCCACAAAGCAAAGCTGGTGAGTTCAGGGCATGGAGTCTTGCTCTGTGTCCTTCAGTTCATCTCAATTTCCTGGTTCTCCTTGCCCTGGTCTGCCTGGGCTCTGCCTGCCCAGGGGATTTACTGAGCTCCAGCAGGGGTTTATTGATCAGCCTCACTGGTCGTGAGGCAAATGGAGCTTCCTGAGGGCACCAAAATGGTAAAATCCCACCTGAACAAGACTGATTGTGGCCCTGGGGAGAGGAAGAGGGGGAGGATGGGGCCAGCAGAACTCACTGAGCTCCAGTCCTTCCACCAGGGTTGAGCATGAGGTGCAAAGTGATCTCGGGAGCAAAGACAGCATCTGGCTGGGTCTGTCAGATGATATTTTTTTCTTCTTATTTAAGCCAGACCCTCCAATCATTTTTAATTGGATTATTCATCCACCAGCAGATAGCCTTCTTCAAAATTTGCAGGGCTGCTGCCCAGAAACATGGATTTTGTTATGTTTCATGGAAAGAGAAGTGTCCTGTGGTCCCAAAGGGATCACTGAGGCAGTGAGGGAAGCACAGGGGTCTCTGTGGTGGTGGTACCTGCTCGTGGCCATCCCCAGCCTTGTCTGTGTATCCATCCAGGCCTGGCTGGCTCCTGGGATGGAATGGGCTGGGATCCAAGAGCTGCATATCCTGGATATCAGGGCTGGCTTCTGTCATGACACGTGGCCAGGAGCTCCTGAACGTCCCTGCTCGGGTTCCTCTGGCACAGTTTGGGTCCTTACTGTGGCTGAGGAAGCTCTGAAGAACTCCTGAGGCCTCTGGGGGAGGCTCTGAGGCTCTGAACTGCTTTATAGCAATGAGGAGATGTGAGAACTGAGCCAGGTGAGGGAGGAAGGCTGGAAGGGATTTTTTCCCAATCCCCATGGCCATGCTTCCCTTCCCAGGATAATTTCCTGTTGGAATCACCAGAGGCACACAGATGAGGAAAAGATGGTAGAAAAAAAGTGGAAGGAAAAGGGAAATACTTCAGACTTGGAATGGTCATTAAGCCCTGGCTGGAACAAAAAGGGTGAAGGGGAGAGGGTACCTGGTGTGGGACGGTGAGAGTTTGGGGTGAGGGGCTTCAGTGCCTTCTCAAGAGAGCTGGAAATGGGCAGTGGGGTCCCATGGCCCTTCCTCTTTGGTCATCTTGTGTGGCTGCTGGGGCAGGGCAGCATCAGCTGCAGCTCCCAGGTGTGTGGAGGCTTTGCTGCCCCTGGGGACAGGGCAGGATGGTGCCTGCACTGCTGGGGACATGTCACATCCCGAGGACAGGAGGGACCCCAAGGACAGCCTGGGAGCCCCACTGCCTGGAGGAGCCTGGCAGCTGTGCAGCTCCTGCCTTTCCTTGGGATTCAGCAGCTGTGCAGCTCCTGCTCCTCCATTGGAATCCAGCAGTTGTGCAGCTCCTGCTCCCTTTGATATGGGGCTGGCCCAGCATCCTGTGGCCCATGCAGGTGACAGGACTGGGGGTGTCACAGGTACCAAGGTGGTGGCACAGGCTGTGCCTCCCTCGTGTCGAGAGTGCTGAGGATGCTGCATTCTGAAAATGAGGTGTCAGGTTAGGTCACTCCATCTTGGTGATCCTCGTGGAGCCCCTGGAGCTGGGAGTGTGGCTTGGCCCACCCAGGGCAGACCTGGAAAGCTGATCCCAGGCCCAGTCATTCCCCCTCCTCCTCTGGACCCTTGCTCCATGGAGAGCTGGCCCTTGGGTGCTGAGTGGTACTCCAGGCACAGCAGCTGGGAGAGGGATTCTCCTCCATGGGAGAGGGATTCCCTTGGATTCCTTGTCTGGGAGTGAGGAGCATTTTGATGAGCATTTAAAGGCTCCCTTTGGGAGCTGCTGAGGGAAATGCACCCAGTTTTTCCCTGTGCTCTGCAGTGACCTTGGGAGCACCAGTGAAAGCTGGGACAGGGCAAGGCTGGCTCAGAGAGGGGGACAGGGCTGGGCCAGTGTCACCCTGAGATGTTCCACCTTGGCCTTAAGCTCCATCATAACTCAGATCCACTTGGGATGCAGTTCTGGATTAGGAGCTGGTGAGCAGCTGATTCCATGCTCCAGTAGATGTTCATGGACCAGAAGAGGAAACTGGTCCAGCTTCTTGGCAGGTCCACCAGACCTTCAGATCTGATGTGAGGTGTGAAGCTCCCCTGGAGGACCTGGTGCCACCATCCCAGGACAAACCCAGCTCAAGGAATGTCTCCAGCTCTTGGATCCTCCCAGAGACACACGGAACAGGCAGAGCCTTGCATGCACCACCCTCAGTGGGGAGCAACAGGATAAAGAATTCTTTTCAAAAGCCCCTTCTCCAGCCCTGCAGCAGTGACTGTTCCCACTGGCCATGGGGCTGCCTGTCACCACCCCTGAGTGGGAACATCTCCCTGTTCCAAACACATCCAGGCATTCCCACTGGCTTCCCAGGGCAGCTCGGTCCCAGGGAGGTTCCCAGCCACACTGTGGTTGTAGCCTGTGTGCTGGCTGTGGGGATGCATAAGGTGACTGTGACATTTGGGGCTCAGGCCTGGCTGGATGAGCAGCCCTGGTGGCTCCCCCAGTCCTCTCCTCACCCCTGTCCTGCAGTGTCCTGGTGGTTGTAGCTCCTGGTCGGGGTTTAGTGCCAGTGGGCAGTGCTGAGCCTCTTGTGCCCAACAGCAGCTCCTGCAGCCCCTGGCGCTGTCAGTGGCTCCCCCTCACGGCTGTGGGATCCCTCCATCCTTTCCAGCTGCCCTGGAGTACTGGGCTCTGTCCTTGTGCCTGGACAGCTCTGCCAGGGGATCAGAGAATCACAGAGTCTGCTGAGCTGGGAGAGACCCACCAGAGTCATCCATCCACCCCTGGCCCTGCTCACACACCCCAAATCCCACCTGGACATCCCTGGAGTGCTGTCCCAACGCTCCTGGAGCTCTGGCAGCCTTGGGGCTGTGCCCATTCCTTGGGGAGCCTGGGCAGTGTCAGAACCCTCTGGGAAAGAACCTTTCCTGAGCTCCAGCCTGACCTGCCCTGGAACAACTGCAGCATTTCCTGTCCTTGGTCACCAGAGGGAGGAGATCAGAGCTGCCCTGTGCTGTCCCTTGGGAGGAGCTGGTCCTTTGGCTTATTGGAGCAGGTTGGTGGCTGCAGTGCTGTCCCTTCCCAGCACAGGGGACAGCAGGAGGCATCGTGGTGGTTGAAGAGGATTTCCACATCCTTGGTATGTCCTGATCCCATCACCATGGCTGAGGCACGAGGACATGGCACCACTGGGACACACAGCTGGTGGGGCTGTCACCTGTGAGAGGTTTTGCAGAGCTCCAGGTGGAGGTTTCATGTTTCCATCCCAGTGGATGGAAGTTTGGATGATTCCATCCCAGTGGATGGATGTTTGGATGTTTCCATCCCAGTGGATGGAAGTTTGGGTGTTTCCATCCCCGTGGATGGATTTTTGGATGTTTCCATCCCTGTGGATGGATGTTTGGATGTTTCCATCTCAAGGATGGACGTTTGGATGTTTCCATCCTGATGGACAGATATTTGGATGTTTCCATCCCAAGGACTGATGTTTGGATGTTTCTATCCCAGTGGATGGATATCTGGATGTTTCCATCGCCATGGATAGATTTTTTGGATGTTTCCATCCCAATGGATGGATATTTAGATGTTTCTATCCCAATGGATGGATGTTTGGATGTTTCCATCCTGATGGACAGATATTTGGATGTTTCCATCTCAAGGATGGTGCACAGCTGTGCCTGCTCCTTGCAGGGAGGGAGCATCAGGTCACTTCTCTTTCCATCACACTGAGAAGAAACTGGACTTTGTTCAAGCCCAGAAAGAACCTTTTGGGTGAAAAGTGGGGCAAAAATAAATGAAAATCGAATTCCCCCATAACAGGCTCCTCACCCTCCCTTTGGCCTTGTGGAGGGGGCCAAATTCTGTGGTGGCTTTCAGGCAGGTGACATTCAACTCTTGGGCTGGAGCATCAGTGGTGACCCCAGAGTAGTCTAGGGGTCCCTGGGCAGCAAAAAGCTGCTCTGGGCAGTGGGTGCAGCAGGCTCTGATCACACTGGAGCTGCGTTTGAGCCCCTGGCAGCTGGGAGTTGTGACCCACAGCATTCCCAGTGAGGATGGGCAGTGCAGATGTGGGCTCCAGGATCTCAGCCTAACACGTGTGCTGGGGCTCCTTATCTCCTGTGTGGGTGGGAGCAGCTCCAGAGGCTCTGCCCTGCCCTGCTGGCTCTCCTCAGAGCAAGAGAGCTCTGGGTGGCAGAGACACCAGGGTTCAGCAGTTCCTCAGTCTCCTGGGTGGTGCCATCCCTGTACAGTCCCAGGGACAGGAACCCTGGGGGTGCTGACTGTCCCACCCTTGTTGCCCACAGCCCCCACCCCGTGAAGCCCCTGAGTGCAGTGCAGGAGGGCTCCAGCGAGAGGAAGCAGCAGCACAAGGCCAGCCTGGGCTCAGCACTGAGCAATGGCCTGGAGAGGCTGAAGACAGTGACCACGAGCAGCGTCCAGCCCCTGGCCCTGACCTCCCAGCAGGACAAAACTGACCCCAAGGTAAAGGTAGTAGGCTGTGCCACCCCTGCTCCAGGTGTGCTGCTCCAGGGCCTGCCATGAGAGGGTTGAGGGTCCAGCCCCTTGGGCTGCTCTGCCTCCCTTCTTCCCTGGGCTCTGCACCTCCTCACCCCCTTGTTCTCCCATCACCTGCTTTGCTTTTGGGGTGGTGTTGTGCAGTGTGTGAGTGAATCTCTGCTTGTAGAAACATGGAATGGGTTGGGAGGGGCCTTAAATCCCATCCAGTGCCACCCCTACCATGGGCAGAGACATGTCCCACTGTCCCAGGCTGCTTCAAGCCCCAATGTCCAACCTGGTCTCCACAAGGCATAGAAGGTGGAAGGTCCTTCCTGGAGCTTTGCTGACCTGGATGTACTCCAAACACTGCTGTGCTGGGGCCAGCAAAGCACCTGTGGCACCTCTGAGGACGCAGAGGGTGTTGTGAAGGTGACCCTTCCATCCCTTTGTCCACTCCCACTCCGTTTGCCTCCCCAGTGTCACATGGAAAATGCTGCTGGGTTCCCCTGATTGAGGGTCTCAGAAGCCGTGTGGGTGCTGCAGGGTGTTCAGCTGGTGCTTTATGAGCAGCACACGAGGTCTCTGTGGGTCCCCTGTGCTGCTCCTGCCTCTCCACTTTGGAAAGGCAGACATGGATAGTGGGAGTGCTCTGTCTGTTACTGCATCCTGCAAACATTACCAGGAGCAGAGATTTTAATGCCAGTCCCTGAATGTCCCTCTTGCTTCCCAGCAGGACCCTGGCCAGCTGGACCAGTCAGCCAAGTATTACCACCTGACCCACGATGAGCTGATCCAGCTGCTGCTGCAGAAGGAGGGCGAGCTGAGCAAGAAGGAGGAGCACATCCAGGAGCTGGAGAACTACATTGACCAGCTGCTGGTGCGCATCATGGAGCAGTCCCCCACGCTGCTGCAGATCCCTCTGGGGGGAGGCCAGGCCCCCTGAGCCTGCCCAGGGCAGCAGCAGCCAGCAGAGCTGTGCCCCCTGAGCCTGCGCAGGGCACCCAGCAGAGCTGTGCCCCCTGAGCCTGCCCAGGGTACCCAGCAGAGCTGTGCCCCAGTAACCACCACGCTGCCAACACCCCCGCACCCCCTCTTCTCGCCCGAGGCCTGCAGTGGCTTCTGTTCCCAGAGTTAGCAGGAAGGGTTATCTGCTCCTTCCCAGCCCAAGCTTAGCCCAGCTCAGCTCCAGGGAGCTGTAGGGTGGTGGGCTGCCAGCACCCTATGGGGAGGAGCAGAGCCCTCCCCACCAGGCAGGTTGCCTCTGCAGGTTCCTGTTGCTGTGACCGAGTGCCACCTCCCGGGCACTCCTCCTGCCAGAGCTTTAAATTACCCCTGGACATCTGAGAGCTGGAAACCATCTCCTTGTGACTTCACCCTGCTGCTGCTCCTCTGCCCACACTCCTCCTCCTCCTCCTCTCTCCCTTGAGGGTGGTGTCCCCTGGCTGGTGTGGAGCTGCTGGGTGACACTGGGGAAACTGACACCCAGTGAGACTCCCCCAGTACATTCCTGAGCAGAGACTGTGGGACACCCCTTCCCCTCCTCCCCCAGTTACCCCCAGTGAAGGATGAAGAGCCAACTCCAGTTTGTGCCACTCTCTCACCACACTTGTGGGAGATGCTCCACAAAGGGACAGTGCCAGGCCTAGGTGGTGTCACTGGTGGCTCTGTCATAGCACCAGTGACACTGCCTGGGTCCCTCATGGTTGGACTGGGAATATGGCAAAGGTGCCCCAGGAGTGCTGCAGGAGATCCTTTGCATGCCCCCACCCAGCAGGGGCTGCTGTGCCCTGGAGGGACCAAGGAGTGCAGAATCCACATTGAATTTCCACTCAGTATTCCCAGGAATGGCTGCTCACAGCTGCCCTGCCCTGTTCTGCCTCATCTGTCCAGCACAGCCAGAAAACACCCCCAGAGCAAGGTCTGGGGGGTCTGACCCCCCTGCAGGGCCCCTGCAGGGTCAGACACCCCAAAACCTCTTGGCACAGCCCAGAATTCCCAAATCCTGGCAGGGCAGTGCCCTGCTCTGCTGATCACATCCACAGGCTGGGATCAGCTCTCCAGGGCAGTGCCCAGCCTGCTGCCCTGATCACATCCACAGGCTGGGTTCAGTTCTGCAGGGCAGTGCCCAGCCTGCTGCCCTGATCACATCCACAGGCTGGGATCAGCTCTCAGGGCAGTGCCCAGCCTGCTCCCCTGATCACATCCACAGGCTGGGATGGGCTCTCCAGGGCAGTGCCCAGCCTGCTCTGCTGATCACATCCACAGGCTGGGATCAGCTCTCCAGGGCAGTGCCAAGCCTCAGGGCAGCTCTGTCCCCTGCTGACCCCTGAGTGACCACCCAAAGCTGAAGCAGCATGAGACCACGACTGTGTTCTTTGTTCCAGTTGTAAACTTGTCTGTTGCAATTTTCATCAAATTCAGTATATCATCTCTTTTGGCGTGCCAATTCCCCTTTTTGTTTCCAGTTTTGAAGTAAAGTTATGTTTGAAGTAAAGTTATGTAAAGTAAGCTGGCTAAGGCTGCAGGGACCCCCTTGAAGGCCTGAGGGGATCCTGGCCCATACTCAGTCTCCACAGATAAAGAACACTTCCCAGGGCAGCACTTTGGGATGGAGTGAGGATGAAGAAGCTGTAGGACTGGTGTAATTGCACCAATTTGGAGGGGTGTCATTTTTGTTAAATGGGTTCCATCTTTCCTATGGGTAGACCTAACAAGCTCAAGGTGGGTCAAGTGTTGGTTGGGAGGTTGATATTGAAGTTGGATGCAGTAATGAGCTTTGGAGGACCCCAAGAGCTCCAATTCCTGGGGTTCCTCTGGTGCTCGAGGCAGGGTCAAAGCATCTACCAGACTGGGTTTTTTATCTGTGTGTGGGTATTCATTTGCTGCTAAGGAACCCTACCAGGCATATTGACAGAGGGTTGTCCACACTGCCCATGGACAGGCAGAGATTGTCCTGCTGTGAAGTCTTGGCCAGTGTGACCCAGATATTCTGGCTGGGCTGAGGGACAATCCATGCACCAGCTGATGGAAAGGTGAGGAGCATCCAAAATCCTGTCTGGAGCAGTTGGGGATTCCCTGCCACTGGAGACATGGCAGGGGGTGATGAGTTGATCTGTGAGTTTGAAAAAATAAGGTTTCATAGCTTTACCAGCCCGTCATATCTTCCCATCTGATCCCCTCTGTTTTTACTGAGTAGAAAAGGGGAGGGAAAACAAGTAGTAACAATGCAACAAACTAAGGAGGGGTAGCAGTAAAACCAACCAAAGAGGGGTAACAGTGCAAAACAATGAGCAAATGAAACTCAACACAGAGTCTTATGATCTTCTGGAGCAGTGCAGAGTCATCTTCTGTGATAAATATCTGTGTTTACACTCTTTTTTCTTCTCTCCTCCACACCACCCAAGCTTGATCTCTTTGCTGTCTCTGAGCTTCAGGGGGAGTGTCTCTGGGTGCTGCTTGATGGCAGGTTGATGTACAGCTTAACATTCCTGCCTGGAATCCACCTTGGGCCAGATCCTGTAGATACACAAGCATAACCTCTGCCCTAAGTAATTAATGGAAATGGGCCCAATATTTGTTTGGATTTGGGGTCTTTGATCAGCACAGGGGGTTTCTCTGTGAGCTGAGCTCTGTGCATGTTGGAGAAGTGCCTGACAGTGGGGGGTTTGGCTCCATGAATGAATTATTAAGAAAATTGATGACATAAAGAGCCTTACATAATCTTTGTACATTCAGCAGTGTTTCAACTCCCCCATGCTGCTGATCAAGGACTCTCTTGAGTGCACAGTGAGCCCTCTCTACAACAGATTGCCCTGTTGGTGATTGGGGAATGCCATTGGTGCGTTTCACCCCCCATTGATCTGGGAGCTGTTTGAAATTTTTGGAGGTGTAAGCAGGACCATTATCTGTTTGGAGAATGCCTAGGGTGGAGAATGCTAGGAGAAAATGTTGGATGACATCTCTTGTGTTTTCTCCTGCATGGGCTGATGCAAATACTACCCCAGAGAATGTATCTATGGAATGAAGGCATTAAGGGCCAAAAGCAGCTGAGAGTTCTTGTTATGCCATTTTCCTCTAGCCCCCATGGGGAAGCCTACATATTCAATATTTACCACATTAGTCAGGTGTTGTATTTGTGAATGAATTTATTTTTGTCTCCCAAAAGGTGCATTATGTGTGACATCTATTTGCCAAAGCTGTAAACTTTCAAGGCCTCAGGGGTTAACCCTGGCCCTCAGAGAGGGCAAAGCAAACTCCTGGCAATTGGGGCAGGAGCCCACGATTGCTCTTGCCTGTTCCCTTGTGGTTTTAAACATTCTGACAAGGGCTGGCACATTTTGATGAAAAAACTGATGGCTCAATTTAGCCTGATTGAAAATGTCTGCACTGCCATGGCTAAATATCTGCCCTCCAGTTGCCTTCTGTGACTGGTTCTGGGAGGTCAGTGTGTGACCTCACATGCATAATGTGATATGGTTGCTCTCAGTGGGAGAGGAGGTGCGTTAAATTTGAGAGCAAGCCTTACAAATCTGAATTTGGCACTTCCTTTAACGAGGAATGTTCTGCTCTCTCAGCTATTCCAGCAACATAGGCCGAATCAGTAACTAAATTTAAGGGTTGTTTGAATTTCTCAAAGGCTCTGACAACGGCTGCTAATTCTGCAGTTTGTGGGGATCCTCGAACAATCTGAACATCAGACTCCCACTCTTGAGTGTCAGGATTCTTCCACGTCATTACTGACTTGTGGGATCCCCCTGAACTATCAGTAAATACAGTCTATGCCTTTAGACGAGTTCTACTTTTTAATGAATTTGGGACCAAATTAAAGCAAACATTAAACAGTTTATGTTTTGGTAGGTGGATGGAGATTTGGTCTGGGTAGCTGTCCAGAGTGAACTGGAGGTGCTCACTGGTTTGGAACAAAGGTTCTAGACTGTTTAATGCCTGTGAATTCACACCCCACTAGGGTCCTGAGGTGAGCTCTGGCCTTTCTGATAAGCTGGGCCCTGAGCTCCTGAGCTGTTGTGGTGTCTTATTTGGTTTGTGTGATTGAAACACCCACTCTGTGATTAGGACCTGATCTCCCTGAGTGAGGTCCCACTGGAAAATGAGCCCATGGAACTTGGGTGACATACCCAGGATGACAAATTGGAAAGGCAGGGTAGGATCAGCATGGTGGGCTTGTCTCATGGACAATGCTTCTGATACCTTCTGGATCACTTCATGGGCCTCTAGTGTGATGGTTCCTGGGGACCTGAGGTCATCAGGGCCTCTCAGGAGGTTCAAAAGGGTTGACAAGTCCTCGGTTGCGATCCCCAGCAGTGAACAAACCCAGTTTATGCTCCCACAGAGCTAGTGGAGGCCTCAGGGGTCTTGGGTTGTCGTCCTGGTGAGCTGCTGGGGCACAATTGTCTGCTCACCAATCTGGAGCCCAAGGTAGGTCCACAAGCAGGTGTACTGAATCTTCTCTGTAGCAATTTCAAATCCTTCAATGGCTTGGATAGTCTGAGATGAGTCTCCAAATAATAGTCAGTCTCTGTGCATATGAAAATATCATCCATAAAGTGATGAATTACGGCATCAGGGAATTTTTCCCAAATGGACGTGAGAATGTGGGCAACAAACATTTGGCAGATGACTCATGAGTTTTTCATCCCTTTAGAAAGAATTTCCCCTTGATGCCTTTTTAGAGGGCTTGTCTATTTATTGATGAAAATGCAAATCTTGGGGCATCTTTAGGATGGAGTGGAATATTAAAAAAACCTTAATATCGATGACTGCCAGTTTCCAATCTCAGGAGCATTGAAGGTGAGGGCAAGCCAGCCTGTAACAATGACCTCATTCACCTTCCTGTGGTCTTGTAGGAGCCTCCACTTGTCTTTGCCTGTTTATGAATGACAAAGACAGGGATGTTCCAAGGGCTAGTGGGTGGTACCGTGTGGCCCTTAGATAGCTGCTCCTGCACTACGGATTTGAGTGCCTTTGGTTTGACTTCTACCAGGGGCCACTGTTCCACCCAGATGGGACCATCTGATTTCCACGTGTGTGGTGAGATGGGGTGCTCTGCAGTGGCCCAGCTGGAAATCCTGTGGGTGTGAAGGGATTTCTGGTCTGAATCGCCATTGTCTCTGCCCCACAGAATGACAGGTGCATTTACCACAAAAGGTCTTCCTGTGGCAATGTGACCCTCAGGACCTTCAGTAAGGATTGACCTTTTACTCCACATAGAAGTGGCAGCTGCTCCAATCCCAGAGATGATCCATAGGCTGGCACCAGTTCCCAGCCCTGTGGCCACCTGGAGTGAGCAATGATGATGACATCTGACCCGGTGTCAGTCACACATGGAAGAGAAACTTTGGTACCTTTGTTAGACAAGCCACACTCTATTAAGAGGTCTGTCTTGGCCTAGCATCTCTGCCCAAAAAACCATAGGATTTTCTGGCAAAACATCAGCCCAGGTGGGTACAAGAAAAGCTTGGGTATAGGTGTGCCCTTAGTCAAACCCCAGAGTGGGTCTGTACATATTACAGTGATCTCATGCATTGCCACAGTCTGGACTTCTGGAAGCACATGTAACTCATTAACATTGTCTCCTATGATTAAAACATCCCCTGGCCCATCAGGAGGTCCAGGTTTACCAGCTGGATTCAGCAGATCACTTCATCCTCAAATTCAACAGAAAGGGCTCTCACCAGCACTCTCTGTGTCCCTGCCTGGACATGTTAGTAGGCTTGGGAGAGTCAGCCCCTTTCTCATAGTGAGTGTCATCATAGATGGTTTCTCTGTGCCTGGATGCTCTGAGATTGTGGGAAAAGAGGGATGAAACTGCTCAAAAGAAAGATCTCGCAGGAGTTTTGCTGAGTCGACCAGCCCTTGAGGTCTTGAGGGCTGTCAGTTGACCGCTGAGAAATTCCCCAGAAAATTGGGTGTTTTCCCTTGGGGAACCTGGAGCACTTGGCTGCAACTCAAAATCCAGTGGCTGGCCAGTGGAGAGGCTTTCAACTGGCTCATGAGAAGCCCCACAGTCAGGGCACCAATTTGTAGCAGCGTGGGGTTTAGAGGCTGGAAGCTGCAAGCTCCTACCTAATTCCCAAGAAGCATCTCCTGTGGAAAAGCTGCTTGGATAGGAATTCAAGCAGGGCAGTCAAGTCCTTTTTTTTGTTTCGTTTTTTTTGTTTGGTTGGTTTTTTTGGTGGTTTTTTTTGTTTGTTTTTTTTTGTGGGTTTTTTTGTGTTTTTTTTTTTTTCTGTGTTTTTTTTTTTTTTTTGCCAGATCCCATTTGTCCTAGTGTTGTGGCTGCTGAAGTCCAGCAAGCACGGAACAGCAGGGAGGGGTTTGTCCCTGAGCTCCTGGGAACATCTAGGGGGCTGGTGATGGCAGGACAGCCCTGTCCCCACAGTGAAGGACTGGAGGAGCCCCCAGTCTGTGCAAAGGTGGGATCTGCACCGTGTGGGGCTCCAGGAGCAGCAGGGAGCGGGGACAGCCCTGTCCCTTCTCTGTCCCCACTCTGCTGGCCCCTCAGTCGCTGTCCTCGCTGTCCCAGTAGCCTCCCAGCAAACCTAGCGAGGACGTGGCTGCTGCTGGAAGTGAGCTGGTGGTGGCCGTGGTGCCTCGGGTTTCCATCCCCTTATCCAGGGCGGGATCTGGCTTCTCCTTCCTGCGGGCCACCAGCCCAGCCAGCTGGGCCCTGGTGCTGAGCTTGCCAAAGCTGCACTCCCAGCTCTCCATCCTCAGTCTCTTGCTCTGGGTGTCCTCCTGCAGGATGTCCCTGGGTTTTTTTTTGGGCTGTGGGATTTGGACAGTGTTTTGTTGGTTCATCATCAGAGTCAGAATCCACCAGGAGCCGGCGGCTCTGGGACTGTTCCAACATGGCCTTCATCTCCTGCTCATCCTCCTCCTGCTCCTTGCGCTTCTGCGCCTCCTCCACCTCCTTGTGCTGCTTCAGCATGGCTTCAAAATCCACGTTGGCCTGGCACTGGTTGAGCTCCTTCAGCTCCTGCAGGTTCTCCAGGACCTCCATCTCCAGCTTGGAGTCCTTGGTTCGGTTCTCCAGGACCTTCATGGGATTGTTGAGCTCCTCCTCTTCCCTCTCCTTCTGCATCCTCTTTTCCTCCTCCTCCAGGAGCTTCTGTGCCTGGAAGTTCCTGGTGGCGCCGTGCTCCATGGCGTAATCCGTGTTCTGGGGGTCTGTCTTGAAGGTGATCTCAGCCAGGCAGTGCGGGCACTTGATGTAGAAGCGGAAGATGGGCAGCCCCAGGTAGGACTCGTTCTGCACCGTCTCCTTGCGGGCGTTGAACTTCTTGCCCTTGTAGATGTACTCCCCACACGTCCTGCACCTCATGTTGAAGGGGGCCATGAGCCTCACCACGTACTGCCGGTTCTTTGGGAGCCTCTGCTTGGGGATCTTGGCAGGATCGAAGTCTGGGGGGTAATATTTGTTCAGCACTTTCCGTTCCGACATGGCCGCGGCTTCTGGTCCCCAGAGCTGCCCCTGCACTGCTCACCCCAAACTGGGCACCACTCTGGAGCAGCCTGGGGTTCAGATGGTGGAAACTGCTGCCTGGTTCCCAAGAAGGGTCTTGCCTTGGTGTGAAAAGCCAGGTGTCTGATAAGGAAGGCAGGATCCTCCTCTGAAATGGAAAATGTAAACAGCGGTGGTTCTGCTGGAGCAGGGATTCTGGACAAGGGTGGAGTTTTCCTCTGGAGCTCCAGGGATGCTGTAGATGAGCCTAGTCTCCTTCTGGGAATGCAGTGGGTAAAGGCTGCTGTGGTGTTCAAATCCTCAGATTATATTCAGGTAGGAATGCTTGGCTCCTCCCCATCACCCAATGGGATGATGGAATTTTATCAGTGTGACTCAATGGCCCATTGGGAGAAGATAATGAATAATTGATGGACCATTAGCAGAGGATATTTCCCAGAGGGAGGATTGGTTGTGGAAGAGAAACTGCTCAATTAACAGAAGATAACTGCCCCACCTCTGACAGATGGGAACAGAACACACAACTAAATCTTTCAACCTAAAACACATCTCCTGTGGAAAAGCTGCCTGGGTGGGAATTCAGGCAAAGCAGTCAAGTCCACTCACCTCACTAACCATGGCTAGCTCAGATCACTGAGGCAAGAAGCGCCTTTTGTAGGATAAATTCCAGCAAGGTTTGTTCCAGCAGGCTGAAGGGAAATCAGGGACAAAAGAGGAGACCATGTGCTCTGCATAATCAGGTATGGGTCAGCAGGCAGTGCTGAGGGCACAGGGGTGGCACTGTGCCCTTTGTCCTGCCCTGCAGGGAAAACAGGGCAGGCACCAGGGGTACCATAGCCAGTGATGAAACAGGGAAAGGAGAAACCACGAGAATTTGGGACAAATGGGGAAAGCAGGCTGGGAGGATCAGTGTTGTGAGGCCCCATGGGGAAGTCTTCTCTTTCTGCCTAGCTGGGGAAATCTCTGTGGTAGATATTGCCAGGGTGAACTCTGGAAGTTTCAAAGGATTGCCCACCTGATTTACCTGGCTGGACTGGAGCTACTGAGGAAGGGGATAGGAAGGATGTTGCTCCCTCCCTCATCCTGCCAGGATTTTGGCTGTAGAAAGTGCCCATGCAGGCAGAGAGGCAGCCAGAGTGGGATTTCAACATGAAAGGCATCTTCTCCCTCTTCTCTACCTCCCAAAGTCACTGTGTTCTTTTAAAACCTCCCTGCTCTTCACTTGCTTCAGTGTAGACTATGCCTTTGAAAAATGGTGCCTTTTGCCACAGTAGCAGTTTCCTACCCCAAAAATGCTTTGCAACCCAATTCTCCATCCCACACAACCTGCCTGGGGCTGGTTCCTCCTCTGTTTTCCTTCTCACCCAAGCAAAGGGAGTTAGTTGTCACCCAGGGACAGCAGAGCCTCCCCACCCCCTGTGCAGCTGCCCTGGCTCCTCCAGGAGTTCTGCACAGCAGCTCAGGAGAGCTGGGGCAGAGATCATCAGCTGACACAGCAGGCAAGGGCAGGCTGAGTGTTCCAAGTTGGAGACAGGCAGAACTGGATCAGGAGGAAAGGAGCTCTGCCCTGTCCGACTCTTGGACCCCTGCTTGAGGAAGAGGAGGAGGAGGATGTTTTCCCTGGGAGAGCAGCAGCCATGAACCTCCCACTCCTTCCTGCCTCTCCCCTCCTGGGAATACCTGAGGTTTGCACTGCTCCAGCTGCTCCTGCTGTGTTCCTGCTCCTCCTCCCTCTGTGTGTCTGGGCTGGAGTGGGGGTGTCCAAGGGAAGTGTTTCTCACATTTCAGAAGGTGCCAGGAACCTCTGTGCCTGTAGGGTCAGATCTGTGCCCTGGCAGCCTGAGCCCTCTGTGGGTGCCCAGCTGTGCCCTTGTGAGCAGTCAGGGAGGATCTGTGGGCACTGGGAATGCTGAGAGTGCAGCGGTGCTGGGGAGAGGGAGGGGAATTCCTCAGCGGGCATTCACGGGGGAGCTGCAGGGCCAATATCTCCCACGGGAGCCAGAGCTCCTCTCTGCTCCCAGCCTCACAAACACCCTGCTCTTGGCCGTGTGCCCCTGCAGGGACAGCTCCTGTTGCTCCCCACACAAGTGCCAATGTTTATGTGGATCCCACGGCCCTCCCTCCCACCTCTCCCTCCCCTCAGTCGTGTCTCACCGCCTCCCTCAGCCCCCTCTGCCTTAGTCAGCTCTGCCTTGTTTTGCTCCAAAAGCCTGAACGTTTTGCACTTGAATATAAAAAGTGACTCCCAGAGCTCAGCAGGCTGTACCAGGTGTGCAGCCCTGCCAGCTATAGGTGCTTCCACAACTCCTGTTTGCAGCAATACCTCTTCTGTTCCCTCATCTCCTGTTTGCAGCAATACCTCTACTGTTCCCAGCAATACCTGTTCTGTTCCCCCATCTCCTGTTCCCCACTATACCTGTTTCCTCCTTTCTTGCCTTTCCAGCAGCAGGTGCTTTGCTGTCTCCTGCCTTTCCAGCAATGGGTGCTTCCACATTTCTTGTCTTCCAGCAATACCTGCTCTGTTCCTTCACCTCCTGCCCTTGCAGTAATGGGTGTTTCCATATCTCCTTTCCAGCCATACCTGTTCCCTCCTCTCCTGCCTTTCCAGCAATAGGTTCTTCCACATTTCTTGCCTTTCTAGCAATATCTGCTCCTTCCATCTCCTGCCTTTCCCGCAATACCTGTTCTATTCCTTCATCTCTTGCCTTTCCATCAACGGGTGCTTACACACCTCTTGCCTTTCTAGCAATACCTGTTCTGTTCCCTCATCTCCTGCCCTTGCAGTAATGGGTATTTCTGTACCTTCTGCCTTTCCAGCAATTCTTGTTCTATTCCCTCATCTCCTGCCTTTCCAGCAATACCTGTTTCCACCCCTCCTGCCTTTCCAGCAATAGGTGCTTCCACATTTCCTGCCTTTCTAGCAATATCTTTCTGTTCTCTCACCTCCTGCCTTTCCAGCAATGAGTGCTCCCATTTCTCCTGCCTTTCCAACAATACCTGTTCCCTCATCTTCTGCCTTTCCAGCAGTTCCTGTTCTATTCCCTCATCTCCTGTTTCCAGCAATCCCTCATCTCGTGCCTTTCCAGCAATGGGTGCTTCCATAGCTCCCATTTCCAAGCAATATCTGCTCTTTCCATCTTCTGCCTTTCTAGCAATACCTGTTCCCTCACCTCATGCCTTTCCAGCAATACCTGTTCCCTCATCTCCTGCCTTTCCAGCAATAGGTGCTTCCATAGCTCCCATTTCCAAGCAA